GCCTTCGGAAATAATGGCCGAGCTTTTTAAGGACTCAACTGGGACACAGGAGAGAGGGATCCCTTTTTATTAGATTAGTTCCTTCCGTCTCTCTCTCTCTGCCTTCTATTTTGGTCGGAAGACGGATGCCTTTGCATGGCGAGATGCGAGGCGGCCCTTGATCAATATGCGGCCCTTGTATTTATAGCTACCCTGGCAGTTACAGCCTTTTGAAGTTAATTTATGATGACCCAGAACCCAATTATTGGGGGGGAGAGGGTTGGAGGAGGCTGCCTGGCATCTTGAAGTGGGTTTCCTCCCAAGCCAGGGCTCTTTCTATATACATATATCAGTTGAAAACACAAAACACATCAGGGCTCTCTTTCTCCAAGAGTTTGGAAAGGAGAGTTTGAAGCATCCATTGCTATCTGTCATTAGGGGGGTGGCAATTGTGACCCACGGAAAGGGTTTCGAGTGGCCCCAGAGCATACCAATTGAGGATCATACTTCCACAGACCATTACCTGTCCTTGAAAGGGCACCTTTCTCCCTTTTCCAACTCCATTCCATCTTTGATGCTATTTCTTGTTTAAGGGCCTTAAAGGGGGCACCAAAGTGGACTAAACAGACCATGAACAACCCTAAACAGGCCTTGAACAACCTTAAAAAAGACAATAAATGGGCAAAATAAATGGGCACCAAATGGGCAACTTTTTCCCTTCTCCAGCTTCCTTCCATCTTTGCTTGTCCTCTAACGGACACCTTTTTCATTTTCCAACTCCCTTTCCATCTTTGCCTGTCCTCTAAAGGGAAACTTTCTCCCTTCTCCAGCTCCATTCCATCTTTGCTTGTCCTTTAAAGGACACCTTTCTCATTTCTCCAYCTCCCTTTCCATCTTTGCCTGTCCTCTAAAGGGAAACTTTCTCCCTTCTCCAGCTCCATTCCATCTTTGCTTGTCCTCTAAAGGACACCTTTCTCATTTCTCCGGCTCCCTTTCCATCTTTTCCTGTCCTCTAAAGGGAAACTTTCTCCCTTCTCCAGCTCCATTCCATCTTTGCCTGTCCTCTAAAGGACTTTCTCCCTTCCCCAGCTCCCTTCCATCTTTACCTGTCCTCTTAAAGGCAACTTTCTTGCTTCTCCAGCTCCCTTCCATCTTGGCCTGTCCTCTAAAGGGAAACTTTCTCCCTTCTCCAGCTCCATTCCATCTTTGCCTGTCCTCTAAAAAACAATTTTCTCCCTTCTCCAGCTCCCTTCCATTTTTACCTGTCCTTTAAAAGGCAACTTTCCTGCTTCTCCAGCTCCCTTCCATCTTTGCCTGTCCTCTAAAGGGAAACTTTCTCCCTTCTCCAGCTCCCTTCCATCTTTGCCTGTCTTTTAAAGGACAACTTTCTCCCTTCTCCAGCTTCCTTCTATCTTGGCCTGTCCTATAAAGGACAGCTTTCTCCCGTCTCCAGCTCCCTTCCATCTTTGCCTGTCTTCTAAAGGGAAGCTTTCTCCCTTCTCCAGCTTCCTTCCATCTTGGACTGTCCTYTAAATGACAGCTTTCTCCCTTCTCCAGCTCCCTTCCATTTTTACCTGTCCTTTAAAAGGCAACTTTCTCGCTTCTCCAGCTCCCTTCCATCTTTGCCTGATGCTGTTCCTTGTTTAAGAGCCAAATGGGCATTTTATTCCTGTTGACCATGTTAGCACATCTTGAGGACCAGGAGTGAAATGTTTGTCGCTCCGCTTCTAGGAAGATGGCAAAAGAGAACCCACCTGACTTAAGGAAGATCATGGCCTTTGTCAACAGAAGTGGGAATGTTGGCTTCCATATCCAGGGCTGCAGTGAATAGTTTTCCGGCAACAACGTCAGGAGCAATCGGCTTTGCTTCCTAGTTGAAGAGCCAGCCTTTCTCTCTCTCTCTCTCCCTCTCCCGCTGGCCCTCCTCCAGGAATTGGATTCCTCATTAAGAACTGGCTGCCTCCACTGGGATGAGCCTCAGCTGAAGGTCAAAGGCCTTTGGCCATGCCAAGGGAGACTTGCGCTTGGACCAAACCCATCCAAGTTCTAACTACTCAACGGACTCAATTGGTGTCAGAGAGATAGAGATTCCACGTTGAAACAACCCTAAACAGGAACTGAACTGGATGGCCTTTGGGATCTCTTCCAACTTTAGGATTCTGATAAGTGAACCAACAAATCCATCTAAGTGTTGTTGAAGGCTTTAATGGCCAGAATTATTGGGTTGTTTTCCGGGCTGTATGACCATGTTCCAAAAGCATTCTCTCTATCTATCTATCTATCTATCTATCTATCTATCTATCTATCTATCTATCTTCAGGGGCTGGACTAGATGGCCTTTGGGGTCTCTTCCAACTCTAGTATTCTATGATTCAAGTCCAAATTTATTAGACACTGACACGGTTCGCCTTTGATTAAAAAGTGGAGCCGAAGAAGGATGGTTTTATGGGAACCGAGGGGCTGCCAGAAGTAGCAAGAGATAGAAAACCCATTCTGAGTTTGTCCTCCCCCCCCCCCTTCTTTCTCTCAAGGCCTGCAAGCAGGGCCGGCCCGTCCATTACTCGAAGTAAGCGGTCGCGGAATACTTTTTTTGCCAGGGGGCGCTGTTTTGTCCTTAGGCCACGCCTCCTCCTGGAGGCCCCATGCGCCCTCAACAGCCTTCTAATGGAGAAGCGCAGGCCCCGCCCACTAGGCGAGAGGGAAGTCCTCCCTCCACGTGCTGCCAGGAGGCAGCCAGCCAGGCTCTTTCGCTTTCCCTTT